CGTTTTAATATTTTTACGTATGTGTGTATCCAAAATTTTTTGTTTAGAAAAAAGACTATTCATTTCTTTAGTCTATATATAAATTTCGTACGGGAAGCCTGTTTCGCTAAGCGGTAAAATAATTTATTTGCTGTTTAAAATTTAATTTTAATTTAAATTGAGTGAATAATTATATTAATTTTTTGTGTTATTAAATAAAATTAAATTATAATTTATATCAACTAAATTTTGTGTTTTGTTCATAATATTTGGAATAAAACAAAGGTGAATTTGAGAAAAGTTATTGAAAAAGAAAAAATGACTTAATAAATTAAATGACTTAATAAATCAGTAAGATTCAAATATTACTAGTTGTAAAAAATTTATTAAAAATTTTATTTTTTTATGTAAATGTGTCATGTAGTTTTTTCAAAAAAAAATTTATTATGTATTTATCATTTTGGTTTTAACTAAAAAATATTTTGTTACCTGTAATTTTTATATGTATGTAATTTGTTATCTATAATTTTTATATGTATGTAATTTGTTACCTGTATAATAATTAAATAATAATTATAATGTAATTTGTTACCTGTAATAAGTAACTAGTTTGTAAGAACAAGAAATTTAATTTAATTAATATTTAAATAAAATAATTTCTGCATATTTTTTGTATTTAATCGTTTTTTATTTTACAAACATCCCAAATCACCATATGAACATTTCTAATTTATTCGAAAATACCTAGTTTAAAATATATTTCTTAAGAAAAAGTACGATGATCAATTTTCAATACACCGTATAAATGTATTAGTAAATTGTGTATTGTCAACTCTTGTATAAAGATGCCTGTGGGCTGGACCAGAGTATATCTACTAACAAGTAGTTCGACTCTCCGTTTACATCACACTAATGCAATCACTCACCAATTTTTGTATACAAAAAATTCCCTTAGTTAAAAGAGTTAAGCAGTATACTTTCTTATTTTCATTTTTATACACATAAGAATTTTTGGGAGAGGGAAAGAGTACGCAATAGTTGCCAACCTGTTTATTTATAATGTAATTTTGAAAGGCGACACTTTATTATTTGTTCCTATATAAAGTATAGGGAAAAATATTAAGAAATTTAAAAGCGACACAATAATTTCTGTAATTCATTCCAGTACAAGGTGGGAAAAAAGGTGCATTCGTATTATAAAAGCGAAGCGGAAAAAAAGTGTTTAAAAAAAATTATTATAATTTATAAGAAAAATAATAAAAATAAATTTTAAAAAGACGTATAATATCAAAAAAAATTTTAAGTAGTTGTGAAAAAAAAAAAATTTTTTATAATAATGGGTAAACATTATTTGAAGTGTTTGGGATGAAAAAAAGCCGACACCAAAAAATTTCATTTGTTGCCAAAAGATGTGAAGAGATATATACTTTTTAAATATTTTAAATATTTAGTGTTAGGCATTTGTAATTAATAAATAAAATAAATAAATTATCTTTAAATTTTTTATTTTTATTTCAATCTTAATAAATTTAGAACATATTTCCCATGAATTGTTAATAATTATATTTCATAAAGTAATCAGTATGCATACACCTTTTTTTCCTTATAAATTACTTTATTTCTATGTCTTAAAATTTAAACTCTTTTGCTTTCATACATTCGAATTTTTTACCTAAATTTTATAAAATGAAATATAAATTTTGTTATTTCAAAATAAAAATAACAAAATTTTTACCTAACTTAATTTAATTTTATTTTAGTTCAATGTTTTTGATACACTCGTTTGTTTAAAATATTTTGTTTCTTTCTTGCCTACACAACTCTTATTACCATCTATTTCTAAAAAAAAATGGAATATTTTAAGAATTTGGAAGCAAGATGCAAATGAAAACTAACGGAATGGAACGAGTCGAATTACTTATTAGTAGATATACTTTGGGCTGGACCCTAAGAGAGAGTGATAGTTCACAGCTGACGAATTTACATGTATTCTTATGATTAACTTTTTCCAAATTTTTAATTAGAAAAAGTTAAAATTCAATCTTTTTCTACTTTACTAATGTTTACATTCTTAAAGTTTTGTGTTATTAAAACATTAAAAAATTGATTTAAAAAAACCTTCCAGGTTCTGCTAATTTTTTTAAAAATTCAAGAAATGCTACACTACAAAAAGAAAAAAAAAGTGCAATTTTTTGTTGATTGTGGTGTATTTTTTTAAATTTGAGAAAATGTACATTTGAAATTAACAAGTTTGCTAATTTTGTTTGATATTCCTTCCAAAATGCATATTTATATAATCATATGTATATCTACATATATAATTTTCATTATTAATTAAATTTTTATGCTTGAATTATGTGGATTCTTTTTATATTAAAATTTCATAAATATTCTTTTGAGATACAGCGTGTTTTAAGTTTTATTTAGAAATATTTTCACATTGTTAGTAAGGCTAATTCACTAATTTTCCTAAACTACCGCATTAGTAACTTTAAAACTTATACAAATTTCTTTTGTATAAGTTAAATTTTTATTATATGTATATGTTTTTATATAGGGGATAATGATTATAAAATTTCAAAGCAGTATCATAATTAGAAAACAAAACCAAAAAATTGCAAACTGAAATTCTAAATTTCAATCTAATAAAATTTTTATTAACTTTATTTTAAACCGTGTATTCTAGACTAAAAAATATAGCAAGAATTTTTTTTTTATTTAGTGTACTACCATTTTTTCCTCTAAATTCCCTCAGATATATTGCCTGACATGACCGTACAAAAAAATGCGGAAAAAACTGCAAAATATATTTAATAAAAATTATAATTAAAATTTGAATTTTTGATATTTTGTTCAAAAAACTACAAATTTCATTTTAATATAAAAATTTTTAAGTTTTAGTATACTTTTCCTATAGAAAACTCGAAATGAAAATAGGTAAAAATCATAATTTTTCCAAAAAAAAACAACAAAAAAAAATGATTCTTCTGAAATGTCATTTCGGCTAAAATACACATGCAATTTTACAAATCATTCACAAAAAAGGCATGGTCCAGACCTTGATTTTTTTTAAATGTCAAGTGCCACACACATCTTTATATAAGACTCCGGAACAAGGCTGTCGTTTGGCTATAATTTCTAAACAAGAAAAAAACTTTTTTTGGAATATTTAAATATTTTTTGACAAAAGCTTGGCTAACGAAATTATGTACATACAAAAACTTTTTTTTGCTAATTCAAAAGCCCCCACCTATCTTTTTATCGTCAAGTTTCATTTTGAAATTGAAATCAGTCAGTTCAAGTCTCAAATATCCAAACTTAGGATATTAAACAGATGAAAGTTGTTTGTATAGAGTTTTTGTAAGAGACGATTGTGCAGTAATTGCGATTTTAACATTTTAATTAAAGCCGATCGAGTATATTGTTGAAAATTTGAAAAATTTATTCAAAGCTTCCTTAGTTTAGCGCATTGTAGTGCAGCAGCTGAAACGGTATTTTCTTCTGATAATTTGATTGAAACTAAATTGAGAAACTCCTTTTATGTTGAAATGGTAAGCAACATTTTAAAATAAAAAAAAATTATTTAACAATATTGATGCGAAAAGCTAGGAACCAAGTTGTAATCTTATTTATACTTTCAGTAAGAAAATTTGAAGCACGCACTTTTTAATTTGAAGTACGCTTTTTAAAATAGTGTTGAATAAGGAAATCTACATATAAGAAAATGACAAAAGCAGTAAATATATGATCATAAAAAACGCCATAAACATTTTTATGAGTTTTCATTAAACTTAAGAAAATGTATAAACGTATATCAAGCTTCATGTAAAAAATATTATTTTAAGTTTAAGTTTTTATTGCGATATTTTTTAATTCGAATGTAATTATAAATTTGTTTATAATTTTTGCTCAAAGTTTTTGTTTTGTTTTCGTATGATAATACATTGTTTTTTATGAAATATAGGAATTAGCTTCACTTTTTTTTAAAACAGCTCCCACTTTTGAATATTTTTGCTCCCCATTCAAACGAAAGCCTTGCTCCGGAATACACAATTTACTAATACATACATACATACGGTGTATTGAAAATTGGTCATCGTAATTTTTGTTAAGAAATATACTCTTATATCAGGTATCTTCGGATAATTTAGAAATGATTTGGGATCTCTGGAAAATTAAAAATTATTAAATACATATATACAGAAATTATTTTATATCATTTGAATAATAACAAAATTAAATTTCACGTTCTTACAAACTAGAATAATAAAATAATTATAGGTAACAAAACATTTTGCAGGTAAAACAAAAATAATAAATAGGTGCATAAAAAAATTGTTTTTGAAAAAAAAAAATGAATTCACATTTTTCATTAGCTACATAACACATTTACATAAAAAAATTAAATTCTAAATCTATTTTTCTTAAAACTAGTAATACTTGATAAGAAAACCTATGAATTTTATCATGTAAACGTACCTACATATGATTATGATAAAATTTATAGGTTACATTTTTTCTATAAAGGCATTCACCTAAATTACACAAAATTTCCTTCTATGAGAAATTAAATTATATAAGTACATACTTCTTTAAATTGTCAAAATTTAAGAACTTGTAGGTGATTGATTAAATTATATTTGACACAGGCAAGGAAATAAAATTTAAAGCTCTTACAAATTGAAAATATTTCGTTACTTTGTTGGTGTCTAATTCCTTTTTTTTTTTTTTTTTTTTTTTTTTTTTTTTTTTTTTATCATTTATTACTTATTTGTTATTTACAATTGTATACAAGCGTTTCATCGCCTAAAGTAGGCATTACAGAAACTTAAATCTGGCAAAAATTATAAAAATTCCTTTTGTTCTTAATATAAATAAATGTTATTAATCGTAATGGAAAGTTAATAAAATTTTAATTCAGAATATTGATTTTCAAATTTACAAATTTAGATTATTCATTTAAGAAGTATTTCATCAGTTATTATTACGTAATAAATAATTTATTTTGAACAAGTGGTATAATAATTAATTCAAGATTTCGTTCAAGCGAGCTGAGGATAGTAAGAGTTCTTTTAATTCAATTTTAAAACGACCAATATCCGGTATATTTTTTAGATTGCTCGGCAGATTATTGTATAATCTAGAACCGGCGACAGATAATCTTTGAGACGACATTACGGAACCGCTCCTACAAACACGAATGTTATTCCTGTGCCTAGTATTAAACCTATGTGAATATCTTTCAATCGAAAAGATATTAGAATAACCAATATTATTAAGTATTTTATAGATTGCCAAAATTACTTGGTACTGGTAAATACTCCTTATAGGCAGGATCCTATTTTCGAAATAAAGGTCAAAAGAACCATATAACAGCGGCAAACCTAAAATGTTTTTTAGAATTTTATTTTGACTTATTTGTAACTTTTGAATTCTATTATTTGTCGACCAAATAGACGTACCATATGACAATATAGAGTGAATTAAAGCACTGTACATATTCATTTTGATTTCTCTAGGTATCTTATTTTTGTATTTATACATTATGCCATTAAAAACACTTAATTTTTCGTTTAATTTATCTATATGAGAGGACCAGCTCAAATTTTTGTCTATCATAATACCAAGAAATTTAATTACCTCTACTTCTTCTAATATTTTGTTATCTAATAGAATATCTACATTTCCAATATTTCTTCGACGCGATCTAAAATGAATTACTTTGGACTTAAGCGCATTCATCGACAATTTATTTATTCTAAAAAATTCACTCAGAATAACTAAATCATGTTCAACATTTGATTTAATAAAGTTTAAGTTGTTACCAGGGTAGAACAAACTACAATCGTCCGCAAATAAAAATAATTTACCCACGAGAGGTAACCTATGTATGTCATTGATAAATATGAGAAACAATAAAGGCCCCAAAGTAGAACCTTGAGGAACCCCGATATTAATCCTTTTTGCGGAGCTAAATTCATTTTTAAAATTTACAAATTGCCTTCTATTTTTTAAATAGCTATCCATTATGTCAAGTGAATCAGAAGTAAATCCAACAAAAGAAAGTTTAGATAGTAGTAGGTCGTGGTCAATAGTATCAAAAGCCTTTTGTAAATCTATAAAAAGTCCAGTCACAATATTAAAATTTGTCAGTTTCTCACAAATCATGTCAACGACGTCAATCAACGCGTTTTGTGTTCCTATTCCTTTCCTAAAACCGTATTGATATGGAAAAAAGAACTGATTCGTAGTTAAATGTGACTCAATCCTTTTATACATTATTTTTTCAATAATCTTTGCAAATACTGGGGGGACTGTTATTGGTCTGTAATTATTAGTTTTGGAAATGTCACCGCCTTTGAAAATAGGCACAACCTTTTGAATCTTTAAAGAATCAGGATATATGCCACCACTGATAAATTTCTATAAAGTTGAGTAAGTAAAGAAGAGAATAAATATGCTGAATTTTTTATAACTTTTATTGGTATACCATCCCAACCAACAGAGCTTTTGTTTTGCAAATTAGTTATAATGTCTAGTACTTCCAATTCACCAACATCGGAAAATTGGAAATCATTAAAATTTAAGTTTAGAGTGCCAAAAAAATTTAAATTACTTAAATTTAAATCACCACCCGGTATACAATTAAACGAAGCAGAAATAGTTTGGCCTATGTGAGCAAAATAATTATTAAATTCCTCAGCAATTAAATAATTATCATATATTTCAGTATTATCACTCTTAACAATACAATTTGTTACTACCTTTTTTTTCCTCCCAGTGATATCATTAAGAAACGACCAAATCTTTTTTTGATCGAATCCAAATGAGCCTAACCGATAACTATAATAATTCCATTTCGACATTTTTATTGATTTATTAACAATTTTGTTTATTCTTAAGAAATTATCACGCAAATTTGTATTATTCGGATTACGCTTCAATTTTTTTCTTAATCTATTTTTTTCTTGAATTAAGCCTTTCAAAGAATTATTTAGCCAAGGAACTAATGCATTTTTTTCATCAATATCAGAAATTTCAAAAACCTTAGAATTGGAGTTAATAATATTTTTAATGTCAGAAACCAGTTTATCACACATTTCATTTGAATTCAATCCACTATACCTATCCAATGTTAAAGACGAGTTTATAGCAACTTTAATCGAAGAAAAATCAAGATTATTCTTAATTATATTAGAAGACTGAGTAATATTTATGTTTTTATTTAATAAAACTAACAGTAAATTGTGATCACTTGTGTTGATTTCTATTGCAGCAATATTTGTTTTTAATTTTGATTCATTACAGAACACATGATCGATACAGGTAGAACTTGATGGTCTTGTAATTAAATTATGTCGATGCTCATAATTAAAAGAAGAGAGAATGTTTAAATATTTTAACTTAGAAGCATTATTTTCAAATAAATTAACATTAGTATCGCCGGTTAGTAAGCACGGTAAGGTTGAAATTCTCAACAAGATTCCCTCAAGAATCCTATTGAAAACCTCAAGACTACATTTATGTGATCTATAATATGTACATAAAACTAGTACCCTATTGAAAAATTTTATATCAGGAAGTTTAATAATAATGGCATTAAAAAAATTTTTGTTGATTTTATCTATCACCTCATATCTAAGAGACTTGTGAATATATATACTAACACCTCCATGAGCATCACTACGAGCACAGTGTACAGCATTATAATTAGGTATATCATATAATTGTAACAGCAAATTATCATACCACGTTTCTGGTATTTGGTATCGAAAAAATTGAGCACGCTTTTCTAATACATCTTATATAAATATTGCCAGAAATAACCAAATTAATAAACTAGCATATATTTTCAGCAATAAATCGCTAGTTATTAGACATAAGAATGCTATGTTTTTGAAGATGTGGCAACGTTTGTTGAAAATTAACATTGACCCAGAGCTTTAAATTGAAATTTTCAAACAAACGTCAAAGTAACCTGTATTAATAATGAAAAAATTGTATTCCAAAATGTAACAAAAGCTTCAGCAGTTTTTTTTACAATGTAAAGTTATTGAAAGCTCTGAGACGGTACTACTATGGTATTAAAACCGTACTTAAACTTAAGAGACTAAACAAGAAAATAAAAAAATACGCTACTGTTACGACTTTGACAACGCTCGGAGCAAAGAAATAAACAACAAAAAAAAATGGCTTCAAGATGCTCCTTCCTTTCGTATTTCTTATTCGACTCTGATGTTTTTGTTTTTAAAGGTTCGAGCGTTTTTTTTTTCGTATATTGGTTTGTTTGCAAAAATTCTATTTCTAAAATGCCTTTCATTGACTCTCATTATTTTTTATATATTATTTCTATAGGAGAAGTATACTTATACTTCTTATGTTATGTGTTATTTATGTAACACAAACTCGTTTTGCTTTAAAAAAAATTCGGTCCTGGTAAAAATATGTTATCGGAAGTAATTTTAATTTAAATTGTTTCAAATAATTTCAGTTAGTTTTTAAGTTATTAAAAATAAATATGTATGTACCTACTTCCAATCAATTTTTTTTTAAATAATTATTTTAAAACTTTTTCGAACATGTTATATTGAGTGCTTCAAAATTTTGTTGTGCTCTTCTTTCATATTTTATTAGCAGATAAACAAGAGAAATATATTTATAAAATGGTCCTGCCTGTGTATGAATCTTAATAGTAAACGCAAACGAACGAAAATTTACATCAGTACCTACTACCTCTCATTTTACAATCGGAGTTTTTGAGTCATTTGCTATTCGTAAGATACTATTTATTTCAAAAATAAAAAAGATATTCGAATCCGGTCATAAAATATATTATTGTCTTTTACAAAACCTTTCAAATATTTTTTTACTTAGGTAATATATTAAGTTTTAAAAATTTTTCTCACAAAAAGAGGTAAAATTTAGAAGTGTATATAAAATTTGTATTTAAAAAATAATGTTTGATTGTATTTTAGATATTATTTTCTAATTCCCTCTTCAAATTTTTTTTTACTACGTATTTATATCAATATTTAATAATTATCTTTCATTAATTATATTTTCAACTTGACACCACAGTTACTTCATCTTGAGTTAACTTACGCTATGAGAAAAAAAAGCTGTTCACTTAAAAATAATGAAATGCTTTCAGTAACATATAAAACATTGAAGGCGAAGGTTGTGCTTGTTGTTTTTCCGCTGTTTCAAGAATTTTAAAATAATTCTGAATGAAAATATTAATATATTTTCTTGATTTTTCAAATATATTTTTAGAATTTTACCTGCTTTATAATAAGTGTAAATTTATTTTAATATATCTTCTCAAAAAATAGCCACTTCGATTTAAAAAAAAACATATAAAATAAGGTCGTGCTTTCAAGTTTCTCTCTGAGCATTGGGACTTGTTAGATATAAAGACATTAGTTGATCAGACAGAAAACATAACAGGGGAGAAATCCCGAAATAAAATAACAATATGAATGGCAATGGAATGTCAACAAATCCTCGATGCTGAAGAGAATGAATATTAAAAAAAAATCGTAAAAGTAAAAAAATAAACAAAAATATACATCGCTCTGTAATGTGCACAAAGAAACTTTTGTAACAAAAATGAAATTATAAAAAATTATCGCAAAATGAAAAGAAAAAATATGAATTAAAAATGTAGTATTTAAAAGTAAGTTAGGTTAGTTATGATTATAAATGAAACTGAAAGCGTATACTGAGAAAAGGTAAATTATGAAGATATAAAAAAAAACTTATTTTAATGTAAATCTTGCATTAACATATAAGAGATATTTGTTTTTCTTTGCAGGCGGTAAGAAGTAGTCGATAACGTTAATCGTTTACATTAATTGAGATGCTACATGCATTTTTTTATTTGAAACACACAATCACAAGAACATATATATAAATAGGTATTGCCTATTACATTGAATTACTAATAAAACGTATAGTTGTTTTAATTAATAAGTATAGTGCCTATTACACAAATAATGTTAACTTAATAAACCTAGGGCCGGAGCCCTTCTGCGGCATCAGTCCACATACTATTCGTTGAGAAGAAAGAAAGGAATCAAACCTAAGGAAGGGATCAGAGAGGAGGCGGTCGGAACGTTGGAAAAATCATCCGGAGCTTCGACGGGCCAAGGAGCTTCTGGGAGATTATGACCGCGAATGAGCAAAAATCAGGTGAGAATCCTCTTGTCGAATCGTACGCCTTTTGTGGTACTGAATATTTCTCTCGAAAGCACGAGAAGAAAAATACTGGGGAACTTTACTATAACGGCGGCGGAGTTACGGTCCTCTGCGCCTCACAAATTGCTCGAGTACATCAGGGCTGTGAATCTCGAGTGAGTTCTATAGGGCCGAGCCTCGCACCCAGGGGGGGGGGGTGGCACAATAGATCCTTTATATGGTCGCAGTGCATTGTTACCACGCGTTTACAATTACATAATCTCTACAATCTACAACGTCAACCGTTAACGTTTATAAAAAAAGATGATAATATCTGCACTATGTTGGTTTTTACATTTAATACATTATTATGCACGTATATACAAAAATAAAATGAAATTTTTTTAAAATTGTTTGAATTTAAATTGTTTGAAAACTTTATAGTTCCGGTATTTTAGTTCAAACAATTTTAAAATTAAAAGTTAATTTCATGACACATGTTCTTATGTAAAGCATTAAAACCTAAAAGTTCATATTAATATGGGTAATGTTAATTCCCAA